CAAAACATTTTTCTTACCCTGGCAAGTAAAATAGGGTATTTTGTTATTTTTGGTCGGGAACTTTTATGAAATTCATCCGGCAACACTGCTTAAAGTGACGCTTTCTATGCTTTCTTGTGTGTAACGGTTTTTTTGTTCTCTAAATAACAATAATAATAAAGAATATTGTGTATGGTGTAAACTTAAAGGAAAAACGTATAAAAAAAGAAGTACCCACTCTGGTAAGTACCTACATATTAACAATGTTTTTCTATGGTTTTGACTTCACTCCAGTACGCTCAAAAACATTTAGGTTAGGAGGCATTGCCGAGGCAACTCCACCTTCTATTTCTGTGGGCAACTCTAATCATATTATACCTACATTTTTCTTGTTTGTGAATTTTTTAATAACAATTCATATCAATATTTTTACACATGCAGTTTTAAATAAAATTGAAAAAGAGTTTAGTAACCCTGTATACTTTAAAAATGTTGTAAGTGTATTTTTATTATTTTGATAACATTGACTAAAGCCGAGTTCATATAGATGCGAATTTGCGAATTTACGAATTTGCGAAATACGAATATTCGCATTTCGCAGCTCCTATTCATATAGATGCGAATTGTCGGAACCATTTTAGGGACATTGTTTTCTCACTAGGCGATATTTGGCATGGTATTTTAGGGACATTATTTTCTCTCCAGGTGATATTTGCCATACTTGGTTAACATTTTCTATAGGTAGGTACTTAAATAGTAAAGTTACTTCTAAAAAAATATGCTACTATAAAAGAAATAAATAAATAAATAAGAAACTAATGTACCTCCAAAAACTCTTTGTCCATTATAAAGAACAAAAACAACTTTAGCAAGAAACATTTCAAATAAAACTCAACAAAGATGCAATACAAATAAAATAAACACAGAACTTAAACAAAAATGGCGCGTGTACATAAAACAAATACGTACGAATAATAGGCATCTGCATCTGCATTAATGCGCATGCGCATCACGCCAAATTCGTGCGATTTTCGCAAAATATTGGATCAATCTCAAGATTTCCGCCCCCCAGATTTCAAATCTTGCGAATTCGCAGAATCTGTCGAAACGTCGAAACACTTTTCCCGCCAAATCAAATGGACCAATGAAAACATTTTCGCATTTCGCAAATTCGCATGTCGCATCTATATGAACCAGGCTTTAGGTAAATATTTGTTTTAGGTTATTTTCCTAAAAGGAATCGGGAAAGGCACTTCTGTAAATGATGCCACTACAAAAATTTTAAATCATTTGGTGAAAAATGAAGTAGCTGTACAGTCCACATTTGATGGGTAAAAAAAAACAAAAAGGGTTTTAAAGAACTCATACTTCACAAAGTAATCTTAAGTAAGTAAATTAAAGAGATATTTAAAATGAATATTACATTTCCCTGACCTCCTGAACTCCTTCAGGGATATTTTTCCTGCCTTAAACAATTTCATCCCAACATAAAGTCTCGTGGCCCATGGAAATTGGCTCTATTTTTTAATTTGTCTTTATTCCAATGGAAACATTCTACCTATGTATGCAATTCTAGATCCATTGCTTTGGCTCGAGATCTGCATAACGTTTCCAATAGAATACAAACAAATAAAAAAATAGAGCCACATTCTATGGGTGTTCTCTTGAGAAGTGTGTTTAATTTTACTTATTAAATTTTGTATAGAAGGTATAGGGAAGGTGCCCATCTTTCTATAAAAGAAACTTCCTGATTTGCTTTACTATCAGCTAATGCTAAAATTATAGAGTAATGCTTAGGTACTTCATATTCATAATAATTATTTAAATGACAGAATATAATATATTATGTTAAATAAAATTTTTCTGCTCTTTTTACAAAAGTGGTTTGTCTTCACTACACTGAATCAAATGAAGATGAAATCAATAAAATTATAGAGAAGTGGCTAATACAAGGCGGCTTACACATTAACAGAGAGCAAGCGGTGAGTTTAAAATTAAATTACTTCTATATACTTATAAGTAATAAAATATTCTTTTTAGAAGAAGAATGAAGTCAACATGTAAACATATATTTTTTTATTTAATTTTTAATTTAAATTAAAAGAGCTTTACAATGTAGATTTTTTAAATAAACCATATAAATGTTTTTGAGATTTTATTTAATATTCCAGCAATATTTCAGGTAATATTTTGTAAACACCATAAAAAATATTTCCATTTTAATAAGCCTGAAAAATATCAAAAATATTTCAACAGCATTTTGCAATATCAATGAAATATTTCCAGGTAATATTTCTGCAACATTACAAAGAAATGTTTCCAAGGGCGGACATTTTAATAAGTCTGAAACATATCAGAGATATTTCGGCAACATTTTGCAATACCACTGCAATATTTCTAATGTTGCAATGTTATATCTAAGAAACATTTCTGACATATTTCTGTGCTGTGTTATATAACAGTGTTGCCATGGTATATACCATAAGTGTTGCCAAGTTTTGGAAATGGATTTATCTTACCAAGGCTTAAAAGTTATCGTATTTTTAAATATATTTTTATAATTAATTTATGAATTATACTTGGTTAAGGCTTTTTTGTTTATCACGAAAGTTGAGTTATCTGGCTTTAGCATTAAGAGGCCCGGGCGATATAATCAGATCATTTTTTATTACAGAACCTGCTTTAGATCTAAGCTGTACCAGAAAGGCCAAGGGTCAAAAAGTGTTTTCTCGAATGATATAATATTTCGAATTATTAAGGGGAGCAAAACAAACTTACAGAAAGTTATTGCTCAATAAAAATAAAGAAATTTTAAATGATAGCAATTAATTGAGCAATGCGCTTACTGTACCAAAAATTAACTTGCATGTGATTATAATTCATTATGAAATCAAAGGGATGTCATTAATGATTTTACTTAAGGGACTAAAAACGTTAAAATTAATTAAAATACCTAAATATTTATTTTCTTAAATAAAATATAAAATATTTAAAACAAGTTTTTATTAAAATTTTAAAAGTATCTTGCATCTGATTATTAATTTTTAATAAATAAAAAATGTATAAAATAAAAATAAATAAATAAATTAAACTAGATATGCTAATAATTATTAATAATTAGCATATCGAGTTTATTTTATTTATTTATTTTTATTTTATACATTTTTTATTTATTAAAAATTAATAATCAGATGCAAGATACTTTTTAAATTTTAATAAAAACTTGTTTTAAATATTTTATTTAAGAAAATAAATATTTAGGTATTTTAATTAATTTTAACGTTTTTAGTCCCTTAAGTAAAATCATTAATGACATCCCTTTGATTTCATAATGAATTCATCGTGTGACTCATTAAGGATCTCACATTGCTCATCAAAAGTGCAACACAGTGACATCACTGAATGAATCAGCAATGATTTCACGTTGATGTCACAACGAATTCATCGTGTGACTCATTAAGGATATCATGTTGCCTATCAAAAGGGGAACACATATGCGTGCCACAGTGACATCACTGAATGAATCAGCAATGATTTCACGTTGATGTCTTAAATGATGTCATAATTGTTATCTGGGATGTTTTGCATATCCAGAGCCCCCCCAGATACAATAATTTAAATGACTATAAGCCAATGCATAATAAACATTTAAAAGGTATTCTTGAGACAGTGAATTTTTCATATTTAACAATTCAAAAAAGGCTCTATTCAGGTAGGTATGTAGATATATCTACCTATAGGTAGGTATAACTTACTGAACTGAAAAAATCAAGAATATCCCTCATAATACGTTTTAAATGTTTTTCATGAATTAATTTTCATTTGATCCTCGATTTAATTATTCAGCGACATGATAATATCGTACTAAAGATGCAAATCACAGTAAAAAATTGTAAAACTCAGCAATCGTATTTTATTGAGACATTTAACATCCGGGAATTGTTTTCGAATTTTGATTCTTGGTGATTTTGGTTTTATCTGAAACTTTAATTTGATAACTGAATCACAATCAAGAGGTCAAAATTATTAGTAAAACATGTCACGAACGTAAATATCGGTTTAGGTTTAGTTTTCTCAAATTTTCACCAAAATGTTATTTTGAAAAAGTGGTCTTTGCTTAGGCCCTCTGAAAGTAATGGAAGTTTGTTGCTTGTCGCTTGTTCAGAATTATTTAAGGAACATTATTTCACCATCTTATCTTCTTGTTCCTAAAAAGACTGTATTGCCCACAAAAAAACCTTAAATGTACTCTTTTGAAAAAAAATCATATTTTCGTTGCTAAGATTTCATTTCGAAAAATTTGAAAAACGGTACAAGGTAAGACATAATACTTCATTATTTTAAAGTAAAAACGAGAAAAAAATTATTTTGTTACAAACGGGGCTTGAATGAAGTTATTAAAATTTTTCACCGTTTAACATATCACCCTGTATGAAATTTACTTGAAGAACAGGGAGCTTCATATCTATAGCATGAATTGCCAAAGGATGAGGCTAGCGGACAACACAGACCAAAATAAAATAGTTCAAGAAAAAAAAAAGTTATGTCGTTTTGAAAAAGAACGAACTTTTTGGTTGCGACACATTGAGTGGTACGCAGTTTATTTAATAATAATTTATGTTTTACCTTTAACACACTGCTTAACATGAATTTAAATATAACCCAACAATGTTCTCCAAAATAAATCACTAATATTATTGTTTTCCGGTTCCTCAATATATTTGACCTGCATAATAAAAAAGAGCGCTCGGCTAATAGGCAAAACGGCAAGTCATAGCAAACTTCAAGGTCAACCTTTGTTTTGTCTACGTCATATATCTGTGTTTAGTATCGTTTACAGTTTAGTTGATGACAAATGTTCGACGTCGAGAGGCAAATTATTTCTGTTAAAAGTTAAAAAAGGGCTTTACTATGGCGACTACTACAAGTCATACTTACTGTGAAATATTTGGCCATCCTAAATTATTAAGTGACCGCATGTTACATTTTAAGATGTTATGTTACATTATTTATTTGTTCAGAGTGGCTTTAAACAAAACAGTGCTGGAAAAGACCCTAGTGTATCAGAGATACTTAAAAATGTGGTGCCAAAAATTGAAGAGATTTGGAAAAACGCGTCAATTCCCATCGTCTCCCGAAATCGTGTATGGGATAAACTAAAGAAATTTCATGAACGTTACAAACAAATTCAGAAAAATATAGAGTCTAGAATACATAGTGAGACCATGCAAGGTAAAATAGCTACTTTTAAACAAGAGGCTTCTAAATTATTTGATATCGCAGCCTGTAAATGTGATTTTCAATTATGTAAATGCGTAAAATCAAAAAAAGTTCCTTTAAAGGAGCAACAATTTCTAACAGATCAGAGAAGTGTCAGAACTATGGCTATAGGAGTCATTGATGTGGTAGCTATGAAAAAAATGGTCAAGGCAGAAGAAAGAAAAGCAAAGATAAAATCCAGATTAGTGAGACTAGAGGAGATGCCATTCTGTAGCTATTCCCATACTAATAAAAATCAGCCTAACTCTTCTAGCAGCGAAGATGAAAAAGTGGAAGTTAGAGATAGAAGTGAAGATGAGTTGGACCCAACTTTGCAAGGTGGGTGTTCTAAAATTATTGGTAAAAAGTATTTGTAGGTAAACAACTATTTTTTTTTTAGCTGACAGGCCTGAATCGAAGGTTTCCAAACAAATGAGACTGAAACTGCCATCCGTGGCACTTGCCTGTGACAGAACTGGAGTTTCAGATCGTGCTGCTGCTATAATCGCAAATGCTGTTTTAGAGGATATTGGACTAGTGTTTAAAAGCAATTCTATACAGGTAGTAGACAGAATGAAGATCAGGAGGGCTAGAATGTCTCAACGTAAAGTTTGTACGAGTGTATCAGGTGAGATGTCGTTATTAGGTTTGTTTTTGGATGGTCGAAAGGACTCAACTATTATTTACGATAAGAATACAAAGAAGCGAAAACGCGTTGTGGAAGAACATATTTCTATTCTAAGTGAACCCGGTTCTAAGTATTTGGGCCATGTCACACCAAAAAGCGGAACCGCATGTCATATAAAACAGTCTTTGGTTAATTTTTTGAAAGAAAAGTTTGACGTGACCGAACTTTCCGATTTAGTAGCAGTTGGGGCAGATGGAACTGTTGTGAATACGAGAGTGAAAATGGCGTTATTCGTTTGTTGGAAAAAGAATTAAAACGTCCCTTACAATGGTTAATTTGTTTATTCCGTTTAAATGAACTTCCTTTACGACATTTAATAAAACAACTAGATGGTGAAACTTCGGGTTCCGGTGGACTATTGGACAGAAACTAGATAACACGAAACCCTAAAAATTGTAAAATTTAGAAAAATAGAAAGTAATCTTCCGGAATTGGACCTAAAAACTTCTGATTTGAGCACAGATCAATGCTACCTTTTAGAGATAGTTCAGTCAATTGAATCAGGTAACGTTTCTCCTTCTTTGGCTTCAAAAAATCCAGAAAAACTTTCTCACGCACGATGGCTTACGACAGCGAACAGAATTGCAAGACTTTATGTTGCAAGTGACAATCCATCAGAAGCTCTCGATATTTTAACAATTTATATAGTTAAAGTATATGCCCCTTTCTGGTTTCGAGTAAAACTGAACCTTTTGTGTTTTGAAGGAGCAAGACATTTATTAAGTTTAATCGACGCTTGCAAACTTCTGCCAGAAAAAGTGCGACCCATAGATAAAATCTAGATGTTCGATTGAAAATAAAGTTGGCAACACTGCCATTTGACAGATAAGATGTAACAAAAATGGCTACATCAATATACTATTATAAAATATAGACAACCAAGGCAAATACAAATAATAACTCAACGAAGGTATTCCTAAAACCAAACTCAATCTCTTAGGAAACGAAAAGAGTCCTGTGGAAACCAAGGTCCCTGCAAAATGTAACTTAAAACATCGGTACAAAACATAAGACAAACAAGGTAAATTAAATAGCAGAACTAGACAATAATAATAAATGTAATAACAATTTTACTGAGAAGAGAAAAAGTCATAAAACTAACCAGGCATTACCGGCAAAACCAAAAGTAGGACAGAAAAATTATACTGTACGATACCACTTAAAATATATTATAAGTTAGGGAAATAAATCAAAATAGAGAAAATAAAAGTAGTACAGCAAGTAAAGTATGGAAATTAAACTAAATAATAAAGTGCCGATAAGTATGTTTTAGTTTTATTAGCAAAACAGTAACAAATTCATAAAATAAACTAAGAGTCTTTTTGACACGTTACAAAGTATATACCGGTATCTCAAAATATTGTAGCTGACGTGCTTTCGCGCAACCCGCCAGAGCGATTGCCAACCCCACAGACGGGTGTTTTAAAGTCCTGCGCATTCAAAACCAAAACTTTAATCTTCTTTTAGAGCAAACTAAAACAACCCGGTGACCCCAAGTTAGGTGCAGTCATCTCGCAGCTGCCTAATGCGCGTTACCTTCTTCATGCAGGCCTGCTTTATTTAAGAAAAGACGATGATTCGCCGTACTTATTTTGTATTCCAGCCGAATTAATCAATGACGTTATTAAATACTATCACCATGAATTTGGCAATTTTGGTGTTTACAAAACCTGGTGTTCAATACGTCGAGACGTATGGTTTCCTCGCATGCACACATGCATCAAAAGTAACCTTAAGTCTTGTGACATTTGCCAAAAAGCTAAAGTTTCGCTGTTACCAAAAACCGAACTGGAACATATCATACCAGCTGGGCCAAAGGACCTAGTCGCTGTCGATTACTATGGGCCCCTCCCACGATCTACGGGTGGTGTTGCCATGTCAAACTTTTTCTTGCGACTGAGAATCTTAAGTCCAGGCTGACGAGAAAGGGTAACCTCTTGTCGCGCCCACCTCCTGTGTTTAATCCTAATGATTTGGTCCTACTTAAAGCAAGTCCTATTTTCTCCTCCTTAATTCAACAAACCAAAAAATTTATGCCTTTATTCGAAGGGCCGTTCCTAGTAAAACTAATTCGTACGTTTTAACATACCCAGAAAATGGCCAAGAGCGTGGAACATTCCACTTAACACATTTGAAACCCTATTTTCGTTGTGCTAACCAAGATAGTGATCTCCCAACGATGGGGGCAGATAAAGAAAAATAATAAAACCAATGTAATTACCTTTAAGATGACTAACTTAAAATTCATAAGTGTTTACAACATGGCTGACGGACTTGATTCGGGTCAGCTTAGTAATAAACTCAACAGATTAAATAAAAGTGATCTTATACAATTATTAATTTACCGTAAATGTGAAAATAACATCATCACGGAAGATGTAATCGAAAAACTATTTCCTAATAAAACAGAACAGACGGAAGAAAGAGTACCTATTGTCACTGATAAAAACCGGCAAAGCAGCTCAAATGGTGTGCAAAATTCCCATGAAAGTGATATACTAAAAACCTATATAAAAATGGTAAGTAACTTAGAGGAAAGAATTGAAGACCAAAAACAGATAATAAAACATCTCAAAGAGAAAAATTATAATATTGAGGTTAAAAACGCGCCAAAAAAGCAGCCCGCTAGTATGCAACCCAAAATTCGCACAACAAGCATCTCGGTTGCGGCCCACCCGGGGCAAGAAACACCGAAAATAGACACCGAAAATAGACACCAAAAATATATCAGCTTAGGACATGCGCAAAAAGAACCAAATCAAACACAACCTCCAAAAATGGTTAGTGAAAATATAACCAAACCTGTTGATACAGAATGGAAAACACCAAAATATCACAAGAAAAATCGAGCTACCTATGGCACAGGAGAAGAAAACACTGGGTTAAGGGCATACATACCCAAATCGTACATTCATGTGTCCAAAATACATGTCGACTTCACAAAGGACGATCTAAATAGATTCATAAAGAACAAAATCTTGGTAGATGCAGAGTGTGAAGAGCTAGACATAAGATCAAGAAGCTATAGAAGCTTTAAAGTTGCTGTGCTTGCCAATGAAGCTAAAAATCTATTAGATTCAAAGGCATGGCCAAAAAATATAGCTGTAAAGAAGTTCATAGAACGCAACAGAAATTTTCAAACAAACACAGAACAAAAAAACTTGACCTAAATAACAGTGCTTTTGAGAAAGTTACCAAATATACTATCATCTCCCAAAATGCTCAATCTATTGGAAACAAAATGTCAAATCTTCAAAACCTACTAGACACAAACATAACATGCATATGTTTTTGCATTCAAGAACATTGGAAATCAAACACACAACTTAAAGAATACAACTTTACCAACTTTAATCTAAAATCCAGCTACTGTAGGGATGTAAACGAACATGGTGGAACTGCCATATATGTGAGAAAAGATATTAAGTGTAAGTGCCGTAATGACCTAGTGAAATTATCTATAAAATTTGTGATTGAAATCTCAGCGGTTGAAATCTACACCCCGGGAAAAAGTATAGTGCTCTTAGTCTATAGAAGTGAACCCAACACAAATGCTAAAACTGACTTAAAAGAAACAGAATATGTAAGTAGTTTCTTTGAGCAGCTAGAAAAACTTTTAGATAAGGTATTCCTTGAAAACTGTGATATTTTTATTGCTGGAGACTTTAATATAGACGTAAAAAAAGCTGTATTGACAATATTTTGACAAATATTGAAAATTGGCAGTCTGATGTTGAAGAGCAACATATATCAGATCATAGAATAGTTAAACTAACATTTGTAAAAAACACCACGACTAAAAATTCATACAAACTTGTTTGTAACTTTAATAAAATAAATAAAAACTTATTTAAACAAAAACTAGCCGAACAAGATTGGCAAGATGTTTATCAATGTAAAAAAGAAAATGTCAGTGGGCAATGGAACACCTTTTTGGCTATTCTGCTTCCCATATTTAATCAAGCTTTTCCGAAAAAAACGAAAAATTAAACTCTAAAAAAATACATGTAAATAAAAATTATCCTGAAGTGTTGTTCTTGAAAAATCAGTTGGATATTTATTATGTCTTAAGTTCCAATAATCCCTTATACAAAAATGTTTATAATGAGATAAAAAAGTCATATAACTCAGCATTAACTAATGTTAAGAAAAACGGCTATGCAAGGAGATTGCATTTGTCTCAGAACAGGTCAAAAACGGCTTGGAATATTATTAATGATTTAAAAAACACTAATAAGAATGAAAATAGTATTTTGCCAGCTGGGGAACCACAAAAGGTAGCAAACAATTATATCAACTACATACTAAACTCTACCTCCAAGCTTCTTGCAAATTCTAAAAAAACATCGCTAAAATGCGATTTTCAAGTAAATCCTTTTTCTATTTTTATTGAACCTATTTCTGAGACAGAATGACTGAATCTCTTTCATAGTTTAAAAAATAAAAACAGCTGTGGTTATGACGAAATCTCCCCCAGTATTATAAAATACTGTAAAGAGGAACTTTATATACCTGTAACATACATATTAAATAATTCCCTACTATATGGCATATTCAGTGGCGTAGCTATCATAGGGCCAGCTGGTGCAGTGCACCAGGGCCCCGGAGCTCAGGGGGCCCTCCAACCTAAGCTTTGAAAAGAGCGGGTCAGCCAATTCGCCAGCTCCTGAAGCTAGAAAAACTCGACCCTGCTCACAAGATTTTTTTTTTTTATTTAATGATTTTAAGTGAACATCAACAATCAGAGAACTCCAGATTTGAGACTTTCAACACATTCGCCAAGCGTCCTCGATAAGTATGTGCTATTTGTTATTGCTATTTGGTAGTTTGTTTGAGTACGCCCATTGCATCAGCGATAAGCTCTGAAGCTCATCCCTGCTTAAAATACCCCATAGAGACCCTGTTCAAACCGATAGATATTTGTATCGGAATGTATGGTGTTTCTATAGGGTGTATCGGTACGTATAGGACCCATAGTTGGGATTTATGGTTGTTCTATAGGGATATCCACCCTTAATTTATTTGCTATTGGTTTCAATGGGGAAAATACACATAAATGTAGAAATTAGTTTTTTCCCCATAGGACCCCATAGGTTTTAATAAAATTTTGTCAACTGTTTTATGGTTGTTCTATAGGGATATACCTATATATTCTTCATTGAGTTATTTGCTATCGGTCTCAATACGGAAAATGTAAAAGTTATGGTGTGCCTATAGGTAATTTCCTATAAATTTTTTATCGGGCCGTATCCGGAAAAAACCATGGAGAAATGCACATATTGAATCCGGTAGCGCCCGATAGATTATTTTGTATAGGTCTCTATGGGGTATTTTAAGCAGGGATTAGCTCACGTGCCGTCAAGGTCGTGAGATCAATTCGACAATTCCACCCGTAAACTCTTTTTTAAGTTTTCATCCGCTCTTCTCTGTTCTCATCTATTACATCTCTTTGCATCTGTTCTCATTTATATTATTTATTTCCTATTTTCAACTTTCTGGGATGCACTGTGATAGTTGACGCTAGGTGTGTCTCTGACTGTTGTAATTCGTAATTCCCTACTACCAGCCTTATTTCATAAAGTATTACCTATTACCACTAATCCTGTTATTTCTATTCCGTATACATATACCTATAGGTACATCCATCCATCTGGCACCATATTTTGCTAGAACTCATTTTCGCTAAAAAAAGTCCGATGATAAAACATGTATGATACAGGTTGCAGCACAACGGCAACGGTATAATCTATAATAACTCTCAACTTGATCGAAAACGAAAAATAGAGAACGTTTTTCTGAACTCACGTTTAAATTGCCAAATAATGAGCTACGCTGTTCTATCATTCTGTGGTTTTTTTTGTTGAACGTGCTGCGTAATCTTTAATCTACATTGACAAGCAATTTACGAGTACGAAAACCCCGGTACGTATTCCGAATTTATAAAATTTCGATAGTTGAAAATTGTGAATTATGGAAAGAAAAAAGAAACGTAGCGGAGCTTCAAAGCGGAAACAACGTCAGGAAAGAGAAGCATGTGAAAAAAAATTGCCCAAGCTAGACAGCTTTTTTACGAAAACACTTTCTGCTACAGTTCCTTCAGCAGCCGAAATATCGGCCCAAAGTGACAAATGTTTATTTATTGCTAGCGTGGACACGGCTGTGTCAGTGAATGAAGTGACTCTAGAAGATCAGGAATATCAGGATTCAACAATTCTCATCAATGCCACCGCTGAAAATGACTATGTCGACGCTTCCGTGCAACCAACAGTAGAGGAATCATCCATTTCTACATCTTCTTGACTTGGGAAAGTTCATAAACAAGAAATTGAACGACACCGAAAAACGGCTGATTCTTGACAAGGGACCATTGAAACCTCCGGGACCTTTTCCGAAGGATCCCCACCAAGACCACAGGAGCTTTTCAGAAACGTATTACGTTTCTACGTCAAAATATGGTCCAGTTGATCGTTTTTGGATATGCTACTCAAAAATGCTGGATGCTGCCTACTGCCAACCCTGCTGGTTGTTGGTTCACTAAAGAATGTATGGTGCACGGGCATTCGCGACTGGAGGCATTTATCGGATAGAGTTAAGCAACATGGTTCTTCGAAAGCACACACGGAGGCGTGTGCTGTATATGAAGCGTGGCAAAAAGGTTCTACCATTGACAAAGAACTTGAAGATGAAATTCGCAAAGAAGCATCATTTTGGAGACAAGTTCCTCGTAGATTATTCGACATCATAATTACTCTTGCAAAAAGTTCATTGGCTTTGAGAGGACATCGAGAGGATCTGAGTGAGGAAGGAAACCACGGAAATTTTCTCTCAATCGTACAACTCGTTGCTAGATACGATCACGTCTTGCGTCAAGTTTTGGATATGCCTAAAGGTAAGAAATGATTTCGTTTACTGCGTTTATAATTTATGTTATCATAATCTAATGTTTTCTTATGTTTTTGTAAATTCTATAAATCTTATAAATTTTATATATCCTAAGGATCAACAAGGTACCTGAGCGCAACGATTCAAAATGAAATGATCGAGTGTTTGGGCACCAAACTTGAACATCATCTATTGTATTAGATCAGGGCATCACCGTTTTTCACCATCATCATGAATCCACGCAGGACATATCGAAAGCGGATCAGCTTAGCATTGTCGTAAGATATGCAGTTAGAGTCAGATCGGAAAATGGACAACCAATCGATATTGAGGTGGAAGAAGTCTTCAGAGTAACCATTTTCAACAATGTACTCGACATAATAATCATGATTGCAATCAGTTAGATGAGCGTTTTTCTGGTATGAGTGCAGTTTGTAAAACGTTTGACTTTTTGATTCCAAAAAATTTGCTTAGCATGAATGAAATGATTTTACTCGCGAAATGTGATCAGTTTCAGACGAAATATTCCGATATAATTGGACCCACTTTTTCGCTCCAATTTCTTAATGTTTACCATCTGGTCCTTCCTCAATTGACGGAGACGTGGTCCATTCGGCAACTTTGCAAAGAAATTGTAACGAAATTTGGCGTGCTCGAATGTGACCTTACGGAAGTGTATACAGCAATGCTACTGTTTCATACAATTCCTGTTACTTCCGCGGCAGCAGAAAGATCTTTCAGTAAACTGAAGATTATAAAAAATTATTTACGAAACAGCATTGGACAAGATCGGCTCTGGCATTTATCGTTAATTGCAATAGAAAATAAGGCGGCATCAAACTTGGATTTGAGTGAAGTTATAGACGAATTTGCAAAAATTAAAGCGCGCAAGAGGTTGTGAATTGGACAGGGAACTCTGTTAAAAATCATTTTGTTTTGTCATCTATTGATCTCATCTGTATAATAAAGAAGTATGGATTAAGCTTACTAAGTTCAACTCACTGTATCCTATATCCTATTTCCTATCTATCCTATCAATAATTTTGAAGGCCAATATAAGTTGAAGTTACCATGAAAGGGGGTGAGGGCCCGATTTTTTCTCTATGCACCGGGGCCTTTGCCTACCTAGCTACGCCACTGGGCATATTCCCAGATAGATTAAAATCATCAATAGTTACTCCCATCTATAAAAAAGGTGACCCAACTTTGATAGAAAATTTTAGGCCAATAAGTCTTCTTCCTGCTTTTTTCAAGTTATTCGAAATGGCAATGGCAAATAGACTCTTAA